TAGAAAAGTGCAAGTAATGGGAGGCTGAAAGCCTGTCGCTTGCTCAATGTCTGGAAGGAAGTGCGTAGTTGCTTGGGTACTGCTGTAGGGGTTGCGATGAATGAGGATTGTCTGAAAATAGTAATTTGCTTGGTTTTTCTTTCTTTTTTGCTAAATTGGGTGCATATTTTCATGTCTGGAATTTTCTAATTTACCAAAATTGGCATATTCATTAGGCTGCTCAGCTAAAACCATTCGAGAAACTATGTACGCGCATACGTAAAGATTTATCCAAAAATTTTAATCAGAAATGATTATTAGTTTCTCTTTCTTTGCTTTTAATCGTCATCCTTTGTGTATCGGTATGATTGGTATTTTCTGCTTTTCCAATTGTTTTATAAAAGTTGTGTTCTACCTCACATTTTGTACCATCCGAGGATTACATTAGTTTCATCTAGAATAAGTCTTATAATTTACACGACCTCAAGTAGCATATGGCCTCGTAACAATAATTCTTCATTTTAATTAAGTACGGAAACTACCTGAAGCAGCTTTGATATCAGGCATTCAGCAAACTTCACTAGTTTAGAAATAAGTTGCAAAAATTAGATAAGGTAGAAAAAATAACCTAAGTTTTCACAAAAGAACAGAGCGTTGCTAGCAAAATTTAAGATTAGAGAAGGACATTGATGTTGAATCACAAGCATTTCAGGACCCAGTTGTTCTTCTGACAGCCTTACTTTTTTTTACTCAAACTTCTTTTTGATTAACGTTTTGCGTGAATTAAACAATTTCTTCTCACCTCAGGTAAATAAACAAAAAATATTTAGGCATGTGCTATAGGAAAGCAAAGATTCAATTTGTTTTCTTTGCAGCACCAAATCTCCATATATCCCTTCTGGATTATAAAATGCGTGGTAGACTAATAATTTTGTATATGTTGTTATAGATTTTAAAGGAACCATTATAAGAAGGCTCCTCACTCACGATTTCTGATAGTTGCTGTAACGGTGGTTGTGGAAGCTTTGATGTTTATGTGATATTGAACTAAACTATCTGATTGAGGAAGCTTATCGAAACCTGAGTGAATTCAATACAATCTCATTAGCCATTGAACAGTACCCACATTAATCCAAATTTTACCGCGCATGTGAAGCAAAATCTTTTTTCCTGCATGATTTTTGCATATAAATCTCAAAACGCGTTCCTCAAAAGCGTGAAAAAGAAAGTCAAAGATTTCAGATTCTCCATTTTCGATAGTTGGTCATTCAAGATGATGAAATTGTACTTAACGTCTGCGAAATGAGCTTAATACAGTGAAAAAGTTAGGACAAAAACGAAGCACATATGGGCCAATTCTACTATCTTTCTTCTATTTGCTCATGCATATCATTGAGAGATTAGAAGCTTCCAAAACCTCAAGAAGAAACACGTAAGTTAGAGCCTATTACATCCACTCTAGCTTGTTGTGGAGCGACAACATCAGTGAACTGAAACTAATGGAGGTTGTACATGGGAACTAGGGAAAAAAGCTTTATTTTGAATAAATTAACAACAAATAAATCTGTAAACTTTAAACTTTTGATCAATTCAGCTCTCGTATTATACATGCAATATCATCTGCAAGGGTTGCAGCTTCTTTCGGATCTTGAGCTTCTGCGTATACACGAACAATATTTTCTGTTCCCGATGGTCTAAAATACAATTCAAAGTTGAAGAAATGTATCGTAAAGCACAATATTGTGTACCTGACAAAAGCTCTGGCACCACAGTATTTTGAAACAAATGCGTCAATTTTTTCTTGTACTCCTTTAGGCTCCAGCAAGGTGGTCTCCTCGTATGTAGTCTTGAATTTCGATCGATCAGCTACCTAAAATATCGATTAAGAATTTTGGGTTAAACCGCGCTTTACCCTTTGTATTGGGGTCAGATGTAAGCATATTAATGTACAATTTATCAAGCTTTTTTTTCAAGTTTTTTCTTTAAAAAACACTTTCGATTCTGCTGCTGAGCGCTGAGCGTACATCCTCAATATAGCTATTCGGCAAAGGACTGTAGCTTTAAAAACCCAACACATGCAAGAGAAGTGTAGACTAAGCACAACGTTTCTGATTTTTGGGTCAGCTGGCTTTATATAAAGAGCCAGTTAAGTTTTTCACTTGAAAGTATAGCAGTAAACATCACAGAATGAGCAAGGAACGTTTAATTTACAAAGTTATCTTTGAAAGAGCAACATCGAGTCTCTCAATTAGGTACATCTTAGTAAATTGCCGCTACAAATTACCTTTTTACCACTAAAGAAAAAGGTAAAAGAGGGCAGAAAAGAAGCTACTTACGAACGCCTTGTTTATTTCAACAAGTTAGTTGTGTTCATCATCGCTTTAGATTGCATAAGCCAAACATTCTCGATTAAGGCAGAAATCACCGGTACACGCAAAACTTTCACCGCAACAGCATTTTAGTCCCTAAGTTATTCGACCACCCTACATTTTATCATAGGTTCACATTTTCTAGAGCAAAATGCCACAATTTGTGTGCAACAAGTCAGTCACTTGACTTTTAAGAATATGTATATGACATTCTCATTTGAAAATTTTGAAAAATTTTCATAAAGGACCATTCATTTTTTGAGACGATTCAGCTTTCAATAATGTCTAATAGTTTTTCTGGAAAAAAAATAAGAAGAAGAAGAGTTAGGGTTGCATTGCAGAGTCATGGTTAGTCTATTTGAAGGGATAATTCTAAAAGGATATTGGGAAGCTATATGCTCATCTTCGTTTTTCCTCACGTGGCTTCAAGAACATGAGGTAAAGGAAGAAAAAGTCACGACAAGTGCGATGAAAGTTTAGATACACATACAATTTTTGCAGCTTTGAAAGTTCCGGAGAGTCCAAAGTTTCTTGTCATACGATTGAACTTAGCAGTTAAGGACTACATATACAGAATCAGCCTAAATGTGTTCGAATATATTTGAATTCGTACTTTATTATGATTTTCGATTGACCCAAAAGTCTGAATACACCTGATATTTCGATTAATTATCTATAGTTTCATAAACAAGCATCAGTTAGTATGAGTATAAAGAGTAAATCAAACTGTTTATACGACTGAGATGATAGCGCTCGGTAATGATAAAAAAACAACATTTCCTAATTCTTTTCTCAAAACGCATTGTTTGCGTTAATTTCTACTTTGAGATTTTCTCTAAGTAAATCGGATTTGTAATTTCTAGAATCCTCAATACTGTGGGATAAGCATAGGGAGTGTGAAGAGTTAAACAGCTTCACCATAATGCAAAGTACTCTCAGAACAGCCGACACGGACTAAAGAGGAAAGTCACATTGAACACAACAAAAAGCATCTTTCAGCATTACAGTACCGCTCATAACTTTTGCAAAAGATTTTAGTGATTGTGAGTGATTTTACATAACAGTCCGTCGCAAGCGTCGCATCGTCATAACTTCTTTTAAAGTAGAGATTTTTTGAAAGTAAAGGCGGTGTTAGACTCAGCTCGTCCAGACGAATCTTAGGGTATGCCACACTACAGTAACACTTAAGGTGCACGGTAGATACGGCAGGAAGTCAAAATCGCGAATCCCTCTGAAACTTTGCGTGAAACTGTCATATAACTACCCCTACGCAAAGTTTCAGACGGATTCGCGAGACTTTACTTTTGAAAAATCTCTATTTTAAAAGAAGTTATGACGATGCGACGCTCGCGACGGATTTTTATGTGAAATCACGTTTCTTTTGCAAAAGTTATGAGCGGTATTGTAGTAGTGGCTTCGTTTGTCATCTTTTTGACGCTCCGCATAAAACACGCTCAAAACCATTTTTCCAGTGCATATCATCATAGAAGAAATTATCGCACTTGGCAGGAACAATCCAGAAGGGTTTTGCGACATTCGCAAAGCTTTGCATTTTTCAAAAGCCACTTTGGTTAGTAGGCTGCTACAACTTTATTAGGTCCCCACAGGTCGGCGAAATTATGTACAGCAAAAAAATTTTTCCTGTGTTTAAAAAAGTGAAGTTTCATCGCATGTAATTACTGTATTGAACAAGGGAAGAAGTATGGATTCAAGACTAAGGGGTGGCGGCATAACTTTGCTAGCAGCTGTCATCTCATCGATAGCGCGATTCATCTTTGATAAAGCTATTGGACCGATGTCCATTTAGAGAACTGTCAAAAAAAAAAAATCAAAGCACAAGGTTAGGTGCCAGTTGACGGGCATTAACATACATTTCTTACAGTTGTTTTAGATTTTTAAAAACTGGAAACATACAGGTATTTTCAATTGCACATTCGGTGCGTCGTTGTAGAGGTCATGCTCCCAACTTTCGATTGAATAACCATACCATCGCAACAGCAACTCTACTATAAGGAGATCTGCCATAGCATCGCCAACAACCTAAAGAGCAGCGAATCTTCTAAAGTATCCGTTAATTTTTTACCAACTCAAAATTAGTCATCTATCCACAATTCTTACCTCATTTATCACTTTTGAAAATAGCTTTAATCTCTTGATTGCGTCATTAGTTTGCTCTGCACTGAAAACAGTACAGCAGTTAAGAAGGTTAAACTTTTGGTGAGCGTAAATATGCGTACTTTCTAATCACTCGATCAAACTTTTCGCTGAATACCACAGTTCCATGACCATTTGCTTCAAAATAGACGCCGATGTCAAACTTGACAGCAGCATGATGTAGATGTTTCACGCCGGTTGGTACACAAATAGGTGTAATGCCCTGAAGCTCTTTTCTATTTGACTATAATTGTGTAATTGTTGAATATTGTTTAAACGAACGCACAGATTTGCGCTATGTGTATATAAACCACAATAGTTATGCGAAGAAAATAACTTTGTCAAGATAACATAAGGTCACGCGTTTGCACTAGCGGTCAAAGCTACAAGAGATGGAGTCTATTTTTGGGTTTGGTAAAATTTAGAAGTACAGTAATTGTAATATTAGTTGCTCATGGCGGTTAACTTAGCTTATTCAAATGTTTAAAAGCTTGAACCAACTGAAACACATGATAAATCAAAATTTTGAAGGTTGATAGCAACAATATAGTTGAATTACTCCTATGATACTGCAAAAACCCCTCTACAACCTTTTTCGATATATACTTTGTAAATTGGCTTATTTCATGCAGACTTCCAACTTTTTTTAAACCACCTCCGACTATAAGCTTCAAAAAATTGCCAAAAAAGAGTTTTTCACGCCCCTGCGGGATTAATGGGGACGAAATTCATGGAGCAATTCTATCGCGTTATTGTCAATTGCAAGGAATGGTTGGAGGAGAGACAAACATGATCGCGAACGCCCTTAGCGCGAAATCGCTGGTTGGCTGGCGCGAAAAATAGGGAGTGCATTTGTTTTAAGCG